TAATTTTTAAATTAATAAATGCTCTTCTAATGCAATTCGATTCGACGACTACCCTCAATGGATAACTCTAGTTGAGTTTCAAACTAGTTTTTTGCATTTGTCCTACCAAATATCATTACTTGAGATTTGGAAGGGTTTAATTCCAAGCAAATGTGCTTTAGAAGCGGATACATGAGCTTTCAGGTCAGCAATAATATCATTTGTAGAGTGGACATTTTCTGGGTCAAAGGAACGATATAGCTGCTATTATAGCGATTTAGATTATAAACCGCTTTTGGTCTGCTGTAATTATTGGGCTGGCATATTTCAATCGAGATTGATTATCGTACTCTTTAAACTGGATAAATACATGCTCTGGTTCTATATCTTTGACAAAAATTAAATTAATAATACAATTGGTATACTGAGGTATTGATATTTTTGAAATTAAATAGACAGTAGTATAAGCAGTTCCCAATTTGTTACTATAATCAAAGTTAATGTTAATTTGTTCTTCAGTTTAATTTTCATAGCAGTCATCAAAAATATTGGTCGTATCGGCAATGTTTGTTAATAAAATAAATAAGTTAAAATTATATATTATATATTAATTAGTAAAATAATTATTATATATTAAATTTATCTTTTTTGAGGCAACAGTAAATTGATAGGAAGAGGGAGGAGTATTAAGTATTCCATGCCAATTTGGCACTATTATCAAAATTAGTGTCAGTTTGTTCTCCAGTTTCATTGTCGCAGTCTGTTAATAAAAGATATACGTTATAATTATATATTAATTAATTAAATAATTAATTATATATTAACTTTAGACAGCTCCCTTTTTAAGGCAACAAGGAATTGATAGTTAGAGGGAAGAGTATTAAGTTTTCCATGCGACCTTGCTAATCCAAAGGAATTTTGAATTAGTAAGGTAATGGGTCATGATTAAATGTCTTCCTAGTTAAAAATATAAGTCTACTGTTTAATTTATCGCATATATATAAAATTAACTTAATGGTGATTTTTCACCCACGATTTTTAAACTCTTGTTTCAGAATTTTTAGGAATATAATATCATTTGAACCAATTTAATAAACTTTCCAAAATTCTAATTTAACATGTCATTTAAAATATCAAGAAGTGGAGAACTAGCTGAAAAGGCACATCCGTAGGATTTTCTTACTGGAATATCGATTATTAGAATTTCATAGGTCAAATAGCCTATCCATTAATTTAGCAGACGCTGCATTATGAAATAGCATCAAATCGAATTTTTTTAACACAGTATTAGTGTCTATAGAGGCAGCCATTGACTGACTAAGTTGCTGTGCAGCTGTTTTTACTTTCATTTTATTATAACTATTTTTAAAATTGAAATGTTCATTATTTAAGTATGATAACTGGCCAAATATTCTAGTTTGTTTGTCTAAATAAAAAGCTGATTTTGTATACTACAATTCTGCAAATTTATATTTATCGACTTCCAAAATATCCCATAACCGTATTTCTGGTATTTTTAAGCAAACGAGGGACATCAAAAATAATACAAATAACTTCGTTATTTACAGAAAATAGATGCTGTATTGAAGCTCTGCTCTTTCTAAATTAAGAGCTCTAAGGGCGGCTTGATTAGTGGCACCTTGATCCACATAACTAGAAATTATTTTTAAATCTAGCCCTTGTAACATATTTTAGTTATAATATTATAGGATATTAACCGTTAAGACGCAGTGGATACTGAAGAAGAGGTAAAATAATAAGCAATAATTTGTTTCCACTATTCTCTTACACGGTGGGAGATGTCATTCGTCCACTCTCCAATAAAATCGTCGGATTACTCAGGTACGAACACTCCGACGACTTTTTTGAGAGGGTCAGTCCTCTCAAATACATCTTTCAAACTCCCTCACGCCCTCTCAATATTTTCAGTATGAAACAAGTTATATGTAATATAAACTCTTATTAAAGGTAGATAAGTATATACTATTCATCGTAGTGGTTGCATATGGTCCATAATACCTGTGACAATTTTTCCAATTTTCGTGGAACGTTTTCGCAGGCACCCATAAGGCTTCTTGGTTTTTGCGGGGTTTAGAAAGTTCCGGGAATGATTTACCGTACCGTGGTCGGATAACACGTACGATAACCTCGTCACTCATCTGAACAGATAACTGTCATTATCAATGCATTGTTGCATTATTGGTAATAGTGTATTAGCCGATCGGTCTTGAACTACCATCGCAAAGAGTTTCTTGGTGGTTCGGCTGAATCCACCAAATAACCAACAATGTCGCCGAGTCATTTCACGGCCTCTGTTGTAGTTGCTTTTGGTTAAATGGGTCTCATCTACTTCAACAATGTCATCTGCACCACCAATTTGCAAAAAATTGCACCAAGCCACTTTTTTCGCCGACATCATGGTAATATTATTAATATCATGCCACAGCTGTGTCAAGGGCTACTCCGGTTTCGTCGACAATGATGCTAAGCTAATTGGAGTTTTTAGCTGCCACGAAAGCATTATACGTGTTATGATATCAGCTCTAACATCATTGAACCGAGTTCTCTCTTCAGAAATGTGCCATTTGTTGTGCTTATGGTATGTTTAGCAGAACAACGAAACCTCCATCCAACGCTACGGGATCTATCAATTATCCACTCATCTGTCCATTTATGACTTCATGTTTTGAATAACACCAAAATGCTCCAACAATTTGATTCTACGTTTGTTGTGGCTTCCCTTTTATTATCATCTCCCTCGATATGTTCTAAATAAAGATAGACATTATATTTATGGAATCGTTCTCTTATTAAGATTTGAAATGCTTCTTCCGTTTCGTTTGTTGCACCGCTGACGATAAATTCAATAAAATTAAATAGCCAATTCTCATATTTAAATACATTAAAAGTTGATATAGCCTCCATCCAATCCTACGGTGGATGTCATTCGTCAACTCTTGAATAAAATCGCCGGCGTGTTCAGTACCTGATCTTCTCTTAAATACAAATTCCTTTATGCTCTCTCAAGATTTTGAGTGTGATACCCTGAAACAAATTATATATAAAATGTTATGTAAGGTATAGTTTTTTTGAAGTCAGTTGAAATAGATTGGGACTCTTAATTCCGGCACTGTCTTTGTCGGCGTCAGCTGGACAAGGGACTTAGAGTCTCGTTCTTGGTCTTACAAACGTCGAACAAGTTGTTCATAGTCTCCTTGTTCCGATGATGGCTGTGTCTGCAGTATGCCAGTAGCGTCCCCACGCAGTGCAATTTACAATGCGGTAGCGTTTTCAGTGGGTGGCCAGCCATTGGCTTTCGCAGCGCGGTTCTTGAGCTGTGAGTGGTAAACATGCTGCAAATGAGCTTGGCCTTCCAAATGTCGAACAAGTTGTTCATAGTCTCCCTGTTCCTATGGTGGTCGTGTATGTAGTATGTCAGTAGCGTCCCCACGCAATGCAATTGTAGCTTGTTCAGCGGGAAATTTTATCATTGCTTTGGATATTTTTGGTTGTCGAAAATCACTAAATTCATGCCAAGTAAAACCGTTAATATATTCACAGGCTCTGATAACATTATTTTTCTCATGAACGATGTGGCTCATGAACTAAATGCCCTAGTTTTTTCAGCGGGTGGCCAGCCATTCGCTTTCGGAGCGCGTCTATTGCCTGACAATCTGGAGCTCTTTGCTGGTCTGTTTTGGATCTTTGTAAGGTATTCTGTTCGTTCATCATGGTTTTAATAATTTTTAAACACATAATTGTTATTCTACAGGCCAGCTAACGGCAGTCGTCCCCTTAATGTTCAAGGGCAAACGGAATGTAAGATGGCACGTTTTGCCGTCAATCATTAAGGAGGCGGCGATTCCGGTCCAAGCTACCGCGAGAACCGAAATCGGTACGGGACTGCTTTTAAACTTGGAAATGATGGCATTAAAAAGGAAGATCTTGCCGGTGTCTCTCTGACCGTTTACGAACAGTAAGTTCTCGTCGACGATTTTGGCCGATAGTCGTTGCGTCGGATCTCTGAGAATGCGAGAACGTGTTCGTTGTTGTTAGACGGTTGTTCTAGGGACTCCTCGTAATCCTCTATCTCAATGTGTTAAAATTTCCTGATTATTAAGCCATCCGTTCAGAGCGACAACACGAAATACCACGTCTTGATACACGGCCAATTGCTCCGCGTTTAATTTAGAAATTCCGCTTCGGTACGTTGGCACAAATCTCTCTCGTCTACATCGTTTTCGTTGTCTAAAAGTTGTCGATCCGGTCGCGCAGCGTCGGCTACGTCCCTGGACGCAGCTTCAATATCGCTTATACCGATTAGATCGAGATCATCTCGGTTGGCTATGATTTCACACACCTTCGATCGCATCCATAGCTTTTCGGATTGCTACGGATCGAGAAAAACCTTGACCTATAAAATCCGCGATCAGATGAGGCTCCCTAAACTCCTGTCACAACAACGGCAACTGTGCCCCGTACGTGTCGTCGACACATATGAGACACAAGAAGCCGAAGAAGCGCCGTAAACTGTATGGAGGCATGTGAAGAGCCGCATCCGACATTGTCGATCGATAAACTGTGCCATCTTGCAGTAGTCTTAATTTCCTGCACGCCTTCTGAAATGGACACATAGGATACCGTCGAGAGTTCTTAAGGAATCGAAGATGCTGGCAGCTCGGACGTGTTGCAGTAAGAGCCTTAAGTGAAACTGTTCAACGTTAATAGGGGACAGCTCGCAAATTGTGCCAACAACTTTAGTCCGCCTTCCGGTGTGCGCGATCCAAGATGCGTTTCGATTCTGCTAGACAAAATGTTCCGGAATATCGACATATTTGTACTGACGAGCCTCAAACGATGTCACATTTAGATCAAAATATGCCATCAATTTCGACTGACGGGCTAAAAATTGCTCTAGTTCATCCAAATCTGGATCAAAAATGATATCCTGTTCCAGAGGCAAATGAACTGGTAGACACACGACTGAATGGGACCTTCGAGTCAATGGGAATTCGAACAGTCTACATTGAACTCATATACCTACAATCCTGGTAGTTGCGGATTTCGTTCCATTCCGCTACGCGACTTCCCCTGTGCTCCTTAATGGTGGCGCTATCAACTCCTTTGTGCACGTATTTAAAGAGGTACTTCATGGAGGATAAAGACCCGCACACTTCAAAGTTGATATGACACCTGTACTTGAGGGTGGCGTATCGGTTGTAAGGCACGATTCGACTGTTGTTATAAATTTTACCGTCGATTGTTCGACCATCGTCCGGTCGCCGATAAACGGGGCGTTCGTCGCCGGAAGAGGTCTCGCAGAGGTTTTTTGGGTAGAATTTCGAACACACGCCCTCCCGCATGCAAGTCGCACCTGGATTGTCTCTGCCGCAGATACGATGAATTTGATTGTCAGAGAGGACCACGGTTAGTATAGGTTCGAGCACCGGATTCGGTATTCTGGCCCATATCACGGGATTGACTCTGGCAATCGTATCCACCTTATCTTCTGGCCGGAAACAGACCATAATGTGGGCATGCGGAAGCCCCCGTTTTTAACCCATTAGGGACTGCATTTACAAAAGTCTTTATTTGAAGGTGTTTTTAACTGTATGTATATTAAAATGACTTATAATTAATAATTTTAACAAATAGAGACTGTCATATATGGCACACTAGTACCTTAAGGTGTGAAAAATAAACACAATATAATGCAAAATTGTTTATATTTTATATTTTGATAGCTATAATAATAATAAAATTATAGTTAATAACTTAATACACAAATTATCTTGTATGGTAAATAATAAAATACTGAATACATAATCCAACATTGCCACATTGTGTCCTAACAGCGCTGGATGGAGTGTGATCTCCCGCACATCGCCTTCGTTTTGTTGTTGGGGACAAATTCTATACAGAGAAGACCAGGCTACTAGTAACATAGCAAGTTGCCGGACGAATTTACGTTTACCCGTTTTGCGTTCGTACTCGAGATTCACTGCCGGCTAGTCGGCTGGTCAGGCAGTACGCAGTTGCAGTTGTGCTGGGACGGGTCGGTCATGACAGACTAGGAATACGACTCGAGGAGTGCCGAGTATTTATTTTTTTCATTTTAAGTGTTTACCTTCACTTAAGGTAACATTTAAAATGAAAATACTTAAATATTTATTATTTGTGTGTGTTTACAAGCCAAAAATAAAAATAAATAAATTCTCTAAACCCCCAAAAAAAACTAAAATATTATTCTTAGTGTTCAAAAAGACCATTTTCTTGTGCTAGACAAAAGCCTAGGCGGTCGTAAAATCCCCGTCTGACATTGGCTAACATATTAGGGCTAATAGTTTGGAAAGCCTCTCGTATTTTTACTTGAAGCTCATCCAGATTATTAGCCCTAATATGACCATACACTTTGGATTTTACATAACCCCACAAAAATAAGTCATTGGGAGAAAGATTTGGTGATCTAGCGGGCCACAAAATAGTTCCATATTCACTAATTAAACGGTTAGGAAAAGTATTGTTCAAATATTCGTGAACAATACGGGCATTGTGGGCAGGACAACCACCTCAGCAATTTGATTATTTGAAAACGTGGGATTTTGATCACAAATGAACACTTGCTTTAACTCCTGTTCTTCATTAATCAACACATCAGCCCTTTTGTGTTTTTGTGGGAACACGCACCCATGTGTTTCAAAATTATTAATAACTCTTGATACAGTAGGTAAAGATGGAATTGGCCTGTCTACAAAAGTTTGTGGAAAAATTGTTTGTATATCCCGATAAAACCTATTTTGGAAATACCATTTTACAATTTGAATTTTCTCACGAACTTCGTAAACATCCATTATTTTACTTAAAAAATAAATTTTACACGAGAACTGTCGCGAGAACCTATGTATTCGTTTTGGCTATTAAAACACGAATAAATACGAATTCTGAAACATTCTTATCACATATCTACCTATTTTTATTTTATCGCATTTTTTCGCCTGCTTTTTATCCTGGGACGGGTATACGCTAATTCGTCCGGTTCTGCCTATGTTACTACTACGGTGGTCCGGTCTGTATAATGACCGAGATGATCGTATCTAATATCAACAGGTACTCTACTTTCTGATGAATAAGTCGAAGGACGGCCAGCTGATCTCGGAAGGTTTTGGTATTTTTTCAAATAAATTTGAGCAATTTCCCTCCGAAATTTTAACTGAGAAACGTCCGGATTATGCTTTCTGTATGTTATCCAAGCATTTTGTATACAAGTGTCTAGTAGCCAGGTGAAAATTGGCCACCTCCATTTTTTGCCTCGGGTTCCGATTCTGTATACGTTAAAATTTGCGTCTATTTGATCTGTCCCACCCATAAACTCATTATATTTGCCAATACAGTGTGGTCTTGAAATGCCGATTTTCTTTTTCTACTTGAATGAGTAACGTAGAGCATTTGTTACAGGTTGAATTCCATGCACAGTTGACGCAACTGTTACCACTGAATTGTCCATCCAGCGAGTAATTACAATTTTTTTTGTCATTTATTAGTCAGAGCATAGTCGTATGTTCCTCTAACTGTTTTTTTTCAGTTGTTTACAGGTCAGGTCAGGTCAGGTTTTTTCAGGTGTTTACAGGACTTAGCACCTTATTTTGTCTCATTGTTCCAGTTCCATCATAATTTTCTTTCAGACGATGCAACAGGCCAATCGACGTAAATAAATTGTCAAAATAAAAACGAAATGGCAGAGATCTAATTTCTTGCAGCATCTCTTCTATGAATTTTAGTAATTGGGCTGCTGCTTTACCATTTTTTTATGTTCTTCATTCGAATTAGGTATAGAGCCTTGGTAAACTTCAAAATTTATTAGGTACCTAGCCAGTTTTTGAATTTATGCACCAAACTTTATATCCAAAACGGATTGGTTGACCACGGATGTATTGCTTGCATCCGTGTCATCCAACGTACTCGACCATACTTTCTTCATATGCAATCTCTCGATCTGGTACGTAGTTTTTTTTAAAAGTTATGTTTTATCTTATTTACAAGTTGTCTAAGTTTGGTCATTTTATCGTTGGCGTCTAATTTAGTATTATCCGCGCAATGCATAAACCTCATAATCTGTACGAATCTGTCCCGGCGCATACAGTTATAAACGGCCATATTTCGTAGATCCTCTCCAGAGTCCCAATAACTCTTTTTTGAAGGTTTTGAGTCATAACCCGATACTAAAAGGATACCTATAAAGGCTTTCATTTCATTCTCCGTTATCTTGGGATTTTGACAGTTCAAAAAAAGAGCATATCTATTACTATTCTCACATAATAGCTCTATAATGTCAGAATTAGCATAAACTCTTTCCCCATATTACTTGATAATAAATAATTATCCCATCTGTTGCAAACCTTTGAAATTAACTGTTAATTTGTTACAAAAATAAGTCGTTACACGAGCTCCGACGTGATCGTACGTAAGCTTGCTGACGTGGCCTTGCTCCATCCGCTGCGCTGGTTGAGCAGCCATAACTCCGCCTAACCCCCTTCGAGCACTCGTTCTTGTATCCTTGCAAAAACACGCTAGATACAAACACCTGGATTATTTTGTTATCATAATTCCTCTACCAACATATCACTTACATCTCACAAAAAAAAACAAAAAAATATTCGAATATACAAATTAAAATGAAAATAAATATCTTACTTTTTACTGGAACCCATTTTAAATAATTATCCCATTTGTTGCAAACCTTTGAAATTAACTGTTAATTTGTTGCTTACCTTTTACAAAAATAAGTCGTTACACGAGCTCCGACGTGATCGTACGTAAGCTTGCTGACGTGGCCTTGCTCCATCCGCTGCGCTGGTTGAGCAGCCATAACTCCGCCTAACCCCCTTCGAGCACTCGTTCTTGTATCCCTGCAAAAACACGCTAGATACAAACACCTGGATTATTTTGTTATCATAATTCCTCTACCAACATATCACTTACATCTCACAAAAAAAAAATATTCGAATATACAAAATAAAATGAAAAATAAATATCTTACTTTTTTACTGAACCATTTTAAATAATTATCCCATTTGTTGCAAACCTTTGAAATTAACTGTTAATTTGTTGCTTACCTTACAAAAATAAGTCGTTAAGCACGAGCTCCGACGTGATCGTACGTAAGCTTGCTGACGTGGCCTTGCTCCATCTCGGGCTGCGCTGGTTGAGCAGCCATAACTCCGCCTAACCCCCTTCGAGCACTCGTTCTTGCATATCCTTGCAAAAACACGCTAGATACAAACACCTGGATTATTTTGTTATCATACCTCTACCAACATATCACTTACATCTCACAAAAAAACAAAAATATTCGAATATACAAATTAAAATGAAAATAAATAAATACTTTTACCGGAACCCATTTTAAATAATTATCCCATTTGTTGCAAACCTTTGAAATTAACTGTTAATTTGTTGCTTACCTTTACAAAAATAAGTCGTTACACGAGCTCCGACGTGATCGTGGCCGTAAGCTTGCTGATGGCCTTACATCCGCTGCGCTGGTTGAGCAGCCATAACCCGCCTAACCCCCCTCTTCGAGAGCACTCGTTCTTATCCCTGCAAAACACGCTAGATACAAACACCTGATTATTTTGTTATCATAATTCCTCTACCAACATATCACTTACATCTCACAAAAACAAAAAATATTCGAATATACAAATTAAAATGAAAATAAATATCTTACTTTTACTGAACCCATTTTAAATAATTATCCCATTTGTTGCAAACCTTGAAATTAACTGTTAATTTGTTGCTTACCTTTTACAAAATAAGTCGTTACATCGAGCTCCGACGTGATCGTACGTAAGCTTGCTGACGTGGCCTTGCTCCATCCGCGGCTGGTTGAGCAGCCATAACCTGCCTAACCCCTTCGAGCACTCGTTCTGTATCCCTGCAAAAACACGCTAGATACAAACACCTGGATTATTTGTTATCATAATTCTCTACCAACATATCACTTACATCTCACAAAAAAAACAAAAAATATTCTAGGAATATACAAATGCTAAAATGAAAATAAAGATCTTACTTTTTACTGGAACCCATTTTAAATAATTATCCCATTTGTTGCAAACCTTGAAATTAACTGTTAATTTGTTGCTTACCTTTATTAAAAATAAGTCGTTACACGAGCTCCGACGTGACGTACATAAGCTTGCTGACGGCCTTGCTCCATCCGCTGCGGCTGAGCAGCCATAACCCGCCTAACCCCTTCGAGCTACTCACTCTTGTATCCCTGCAAAAACACGCTAGATACAAACACCTGGATTTTGTTTTGTTATCATAATTCCTCTACCAACATATCACTTACATCTCACAAAAAAACAAAAAATATCTGAATATACAAATTAAAATTGAAAATAAATATCTTACTTTTACTGGAACCCATTTTAAATATCCCATCTGTTGCAAACCTTTGAAATTAACTGTTAATTTGTTGCTTACCTTTACAAAAAATGTCGTTACACGAGCCCGACGTGATCGT